TGATGAAATTAAATGTTGATGGAGCTTCAAAAGGAAATGGGTTATCTGGGGGAGGGATGGTTTTGAGAGACTCCAAGGGGCATATTGTCTTAGCAGCTGCTGCATTTATGGGACTGGTACTAGTATGAGAGCTGAATGCCTGGCAATGCTGGATGGCTTGAAAATGATAATGCACAATGGTTTGAATGATTACCATATTGTTTTGGAATTTGACTCTCAAGTGTTAGTCAATATGATAATGGGGGTTGCTGTCACTCCATGGAGACTTTCAGGTTACATGAAACAAATTTTAGATATGCTTGGGCAAATGCATTTCCAGATTAGGCATGTGTATAGAGAGGCAAATAGGATTGCGGATTTTCTGGCTAACTATGCAGTGCAGTCTGGTATTTATTCTGATTTTTCTGCCAATGGGGTGCTGCCTACTGCTGGCAGATTACTTCTTAAACAGGATCAAAGCATGATACCTAATATTAGATTGAAAAAGGTAACTATTTGTGAGCATAGGCAAGGGGTTGGTTAAGAAGGATGTTCTTGTATGCACTTAATGCCTGATGTTCTAGGCAGGTCTGATGGTCAGGTTGGTGCACTGGATGTCTGGGGTATTGGGTTTTGTTGATCTGGGTTTTTCCTGGACCTTGTTTTGGTTTTATGAGGTGTCTCATTGTTGTCCATTGCTGTTTTTGGTTGGGCACCTGTGTGTTTCTGGTCTGCCTGGGCTGTTCCTGTTTGTCCTGACTCCTCCCCTGTGTTCAATGGCATGGGTTGGTATGTTGCCTCTTTGTGGTTGCTGCCTTCTACTGGCCTGGTTCCTGTTGATCTGTCTATGTGCTGTGCTGGGGGTGTGTCTGTCTGTGCCCAGCTGGTTTTGCTTCTGCTGCCTGCTGTTTTGCTGCCCCTGTTCTTTGATGCTGCCTGTCCTGGACTGGAGCTCCTTTGCTCTTCTGGGTTCCAGCTTTATTGCAGCTGGTGTGATTCCCTTTTTAGCTGGTTTCCAGCTGACTTTCCAGCTGCCTTTGTCTAGGTTTAGCTGGACTTTGCCTGCCTTCTTTTCCACTATTTTTGTCCTGCCTGGCTTCTCTTTTTTGTCATAGCCTGGCTTCTTTGCTTCTTGTAATTTTTGTTCATTCAATATATTTTTCTGTTCAAAAAAAAAAAAAAAAAAGGTTTAGGGTTTAGGGTTTAAGAGCTGAGACAGGTTGTATTCTCCATGTCTATGGAGAGTGCCCCTGGCGCAGATGGCTTTTCTGGAAAATTCTTCCAAGTGGCATGGGACATCATTAAAAGTGACTTATTAGAAGCTGTCAATTTTTTCTTGGGTGGAGTAGTGGTTCCTAGGTCTGTTAACTCTACTCTCCTTGTCTTAATTCCGAAAGTGACCAAGCCTAGTTCGTTTTCAGAATTTAGGCCTATAAGTCTCTGCAACTTCCTGTACAAAGTTTTTACTAAGATTCTTTCAAACAGACTCGCGGCCCTCCTCCCCTCTTTGATCTCAAATGCACAGCATGGTTTTGTTGAAGGGAGAGGGATTGGTGACTGTATTTCACTGGCCCAGCTGATGGTTGGAGAGCTTGACAGGAAAGTTGAAGCGGTAACGTGATTGTTAAATTGGACATGATGAAGGCGTATGACCGCATGGAGTGGAATTTTCTAAAAAGAACTCTCGAGTGTTTTGGTTTCTCAAGCTCATTTGTCTCTATCATTGGCAACTGCCTGCAGAACCAATTTTTTTCTATTTGCCTCAATGGGAAATGCTTTGGCTATTTTCCATCTTCTAGAGGGTTGAGACAAGGCGACCCGATAGCCCTTGCTCTCTTTATCTTGGCGGAGGAAGTCTTAAGCAGGGGACTGGCCCAATTATATGGGGAAGGTAGGGTTAAAGGCTTTCACGCAGGTAGGGGTGGCCTGTTGGTTTCTCACTTGCTCTTTGCCGACGACACTCTGTTATTCCTTAGAGGTAACAAGTTATCCATGGAGCATTTGATGATTTTCTTGGCTAGATATGAGGGCGGGTCTGGACAGAAAATAAGCAAGGAAAAGAGCACTCTTTTTTGCTCCTCTAAGATCCCTCTGGGCAGGCAAAGGGCATTGTCTAGGATAGCACAAATCCCTATTAAAAAGTGTCCCTTAGTCTATTTGGGTTGCCCAATGATAAAAGGAAGGTATCGTTTGCGTGACTTTGAGGATGTGGTTTTAAAATTCAAGGCCAAAATGGAAGGATGGTATGCTGGTCTCCTTTCTAGTATGGGAAGAATTGTGCTGATTAAGTCGGTTTTAAATGCCATCCCTGTGCACTTGCTCCCTTGTCTCAACCTCCCCGAAGGTATTCTCTTCAAGCTGAGGTCCTTGATCGCCTCTTTTTGTGGTCTGGTAAGATGGGAGAGAAGAAAAGGCAATGGGTCTCTTGGGCTGATATCTCAAGACCGAAGGATGAGGGGGGACTTGGAATTAGGAAACTTGAGGATCTCCAAATGGCTTTTAGATGGAAGCAGGTGTGGGGAATTTTAAAGGGCGATTCCCTGTGGGAGAACATGTTTAGGGCAAAGTTCCTAAGGGGAAAGCACATGCTGAGATGTCCTAGCACGGGGAAAGCATGAATTTTTCGTATGCTTCAGCCTTTCTTCTTTTCTGTTGTGTGTAACTCCTAGGTGCTGGTTGGTAATGGTAGGTCAGTGAATTTTTGGTGCACTAACTGGGTTGGTACTGGCCCCTTGTTAAACAGAATAGAGGGGCTTCCTTTGTCTTTCCCAAGTCTAACTGATATTTGGGTTGGTGGGGCATGGCAGTGGCATAAATTGGGCTTTGACTTGCCTGATCCGCTCAAACAGGAGATTCAAAACACTGGCCTCACTTTATGTAATAGAGACGACCGCTTGGTTTGGAACTTATCTGATTGTGGCAAGTTCACTGTCAAATCTGCTTGGCAATCGATAAGGGAGTCGAAGTACCCTGACGCTGTGGACTCCATGATTTGGAAACAATCTGTTTTTCCTAGCGCTATGCTGCTGGGTTGGAAAATTCACCACCATGCAGTGGTTTTGGATTCGAACTTCCAAAAGATTGGAGTGGAATTGGCTAGTAGGTGTTCCCTCTGTTATCAGGATGTGGAATCGGTTAACCATCTCTTTATTCAATGCCCATTTGCAAACGAAGTGTGGAGAAAACTAGCTGTATGTGGTGGTTTCCAAATTTTTACATCTGAAACTCCTATGGTGCGAATGATGAGGTTGACAAGGATTTTTAAAAAGCAGTCTGTGTATCACAGCCTACTTGGTGGTGCTCCTTTGTTGATATTTTGGAAATTGTGGAGGGAGAGATGTAAAAGAATTTATGAAGATATCTCTTTAAATGCCCATGCTCTGTTCTTGGAGGTTTGTTCAGCTCTTAGACTGCAGGCTCATGGTATTAGACCCAAAGCGGCAGAGGGCATTATGGGCACGGAGTTTTTGCAGGCTATAAAGGTTGAGGTAAGGTATGAGTTGAAACCGAAGGTGATTTGGATTAACTGGTCTCCTCCTCCCCCTGGTCAGTTAAAGCTTAATGTTGAAGGGGCATCAAAGTGCAATCCTGGTAGAGCTGGGGGTGGCGCTGTGGTAAGGAATGAATGGGGGCACTTAGTTTTGGCTGCATCATTTTTCTATGGGGTTTGTTCCAACATGGAGGCTGAGCTATGTGCCCTGAAGGATGACCTATTGTTGTTTAGAAGTTATGGTCTGTTAGACTATGGCCTCCATATTGAAACTGACTCGGCGGTTATGGTCCAAATGATAATGAAAGGACACATGAGGGCCTGGAAGTTTTGGGGGATCTGTGATGAAATTATGGGATTGTTGGAGGGCATGAATTTCTGTCTGGCTCACGTGTACAGGGAAGCGAATTCTTTGGCTGATTGTTTAGCTAATCTCGTTGTTCTGGAAAGTGCTTCAACGGACCACACACAAGATTTGAAAATCCCTCTTCAAGCTAAATTTATTCAGAGGCAGGATCAACAAGGCATTAAAACGCCTAGGAAAAAATTTGCTATTTTTTATTATGATCATGCTTTTTTGTCTGCTGGGGTATTTTCTAGCTGGGATCCTCATTGCTTGGCCTACCTCAGATGGGACCCTGTGGCCTTGCTGGGCATTATGGATTCATGTGGGGTTCTTGGTCTCTTATTATTGCAGTTGTGGGGAGTATCCGGTTTTTCATTTGCTACTATGGGCAGGAGTGCACTGTTCACGTGAACAGCCTGCTTTCAGCTGGCCTTTGTTTTCAGCTGCTCTCTGAGGTTTGTTTTAAGAGTTTCTCCATTGAATGCAGTTGGTTCTGGGTTGAAGGGCACTGCTCACGTGACTGCTCATGGGACTGCCCGTGAACAGTGTTAATGCTTCTGGTGCTGGTCCTTTCAACTGCTTCCTTGGGACTTCTTCCTCGAATTTCAAATGGAGTTTCAGCTCCTTTTGCAGGTGGTTTTTGGTTCTGTTCAGCTGGTCACAGTTGGCCCCCAGCTGGCTTATATAATCAAGCCATAATCTATATAAGAACTTTGATTCAAGCACTAGTATTCAATATAGTGCATCAATCATAAGGAGCTGCACTAGTAGGAAAAAAAATTGCTTTTTTGTAATAGGAAGGAACATAGACAAGTATTATCAGAAGATTGCAAAAGAAACAACACTTATGTTTATCATCTAACAGCCAGAAGTCAAATTGGAAATTGCAATAGGCTTTCCAAACCTGGCATTGGGTGTCCATGTGGAGGAGAGTTTGCGGCTGATGACTGCTGGCGTGACGGGTACCATGAAGACAGTGCACCCCGTCCTTCATATTGATTTTTTCTTGGAGGAGTGGTAGCAGAACTTTTCTGAGGAGATCCAGCAGCCGAATACCTTCTGGGGGACACACGTGGAAATTATTTTTGGAGTTCCCGTTGGAGTGAGACGGGGTGTTATGTAAGGGGTCATAGAAAATCGTTGATTAGCTTGCTTTTACGCTGTTGTCCAAAACTTGGATTAAATCACACATCATGAAAAAAATGATATGCAGGCATATGCAAGACTGAACAACCAAGAGTTATTGATACATACCATCATCAGTGATGTTTGCACTATCTATGGAGCCGCTAAATGAATGTTGTGTCATGTAGCCATTTGCCGCCTACTCTGCAAGGTAAGAGTTAAGGAAGTAATAGCACACCCAACAACAGACACCAAGCAGAAGACAGAAACCAATATAATTTCATTAAATACAAACAAGATACGACACTTGACCAGTTACTAAGCACTATATTCAAAATTTTCATCAAGCCAAGGCAAAAATTACCCTTCACAGGATGGGCTTTGGGAACTGAATGATCATATATTCCTATATCCACTGTTTCAGTTTGCTGGTAAAACACAAAAAGCAAAGGAAAAAAACCAACATGAACAAGAAGATATTTCTCATCACAAAAGCCCTAAACCCTATTTAAATTCTATATTCTATTAGTATTTTTAACACGCTACAAACTCCTAATTTTTCACCATATGATTTAACCACTTGCTCCCTCTCCAAGTAATTAAATTTTGTTTCCAACATTTAACAATTTCAATAGAAAGACAATAACAAAAGAAATAAAACATAAATAATCTAATAGAAAAGCAAACAAAACACATGTAATCAAAGAAATGTTATTCAATTATAGGTTGTATAAAACACGAAAACAACAACGAAAAATAAAAAGTAAATAGTGGAATAATGAGAGTGTGGGGGATTGAAAATAATAGAAACAATGATCATAACAAGTAAGAAACACAAGAAGTAGAAATAGTCAAGTGTAAAGCACATTTTACATGTAAAAGAAAGCCAATAGAATTTGGACAAATAGATATACTTATCTTTTCATTCCTAAACTCCGCTTTCAAGCTTATCTCGTCCATTCCACTAACAACTGATATCAAAGCACAAATTAGATTAGTTACGCACATAAAAATGAAAATTCAAAGATAACAAACAACAATAAAAGAAAAAAATTAGATAAGAGTGATGAGGAGGTGGAACAAAAGAACAAAAAACCCAAATCCCTAACCCCTAACCCCTAACCCCTAACCCCTAACCCCTAACCCCTAATCCGTACTCCCAAAGCCCTAATCCTTAATCCCTAATACCTAATCCCTACACCCTAAGCCCTGCTCCCTAAGACCTAATCCCTAACCCCCCCCCCCCTTTTTTTTTTTAAATAAAGAAAAAATTTATAAATAAGAACCAAGATTACAAGAAGCAAAAAGCAGAGCATTAAACAGAACATGGAAGCCAAAGTTGGCTTTAAACCTTCAAAATAAAATAGCAAAATGAGCAGCTGAACAGAGCCAAACTGCCCCTAACATTGAAAGACCAACAGGCATCAAAGCAGCCAGACCATAAAGCTAAAAATAGTAAGCTAACTGGAGGAAGACCAGCTGAAAAGAACCAGGGAGAACAGGTGGAGTCCCGTAAAGACCAGCTGAGAATAAAGCCTCCAACTGACCGCAATGAGAACCATCAAACCAGCAGCATGAGAGGACCAGCTGAGAGGCGAAAGTGAAAGGGACCCGAGGAAAACCAGCTGAGGAACCTTTAAAGAGCCCGCAGAGAACCAAAAAAACCTGGGACAGCAACCTGACTGTTCACGTGCACAGTCACGTGAACAGTGGCAAACAGCAGCAAATTGGGGAGCAATCCAGCTGAAGGCGCAGAAAAAGCTGAAAAACAGCTGAAGATGTATGGGACAGTATGCCATAAAAGCAGCCGAGAGAGAACCATCTGAGAGGCACTTGAATAATGCATCCAGCTGAAACCATGTGAATAACCTCAAAGACATAGTATTGGGGAGAGAGTGGCCATCAAAAAACAGCAACCAAGGAGAAAAGCTGGACTGATCCAGCAGCAACCATCAATGAATGCCAATGGACCAGAAAGGCCACCATCACTCCCCAGCAGACCAGCTGAACAGGATCCAAACAGAAGAGGACCAGCTGGACAGAAAGCAATAGCAGCAGAGAAACGCCATACACGTGAACAGTCGCATGAACAGAGCACAAGACCCACAGCAGAGAGAAAAATCAGCAAAATGAAAAATGACCCTGCATCAAAGCCCAGCACCATGCCCAAGTAAAAATATCACATCAGCAACCATCCAGCACCTCACATAAAGAGATGATGAGTGATGAAGAAAAGGAAGACCAACATAAGTTGGCTTTAATCCTACAACAGGATTAACAGCCAGAAGATAGCCCCAGATGGGACCTTACCTAAATCAGTAGGGAACCCTGCTCCAACGCCATAAATACAGCAGCACATCACCAAGGCCTCAACACCCTAACTGAGCCTGAGCCAAACCAGACACAACACTGCCCAGAAACCAAGCAGCAGGTGCACAAAGACGCCAAGCCCAGTGTCAACCAATCCCCTGCCTATGCTCACTTATCAAAACCTTGTTTAGTCTAGCAGAAGCTATCATTCCTTGGTGTTGTTGTAGAAGTAATCTGCCAGTACTAGGCAGAGTACCATTATCAGAAAAATCAGAATACCTACCAGCCTGCACTGCATAAGAAGCCAGGAAGTCTGCAACTCTATTTGCTTCCCTTTACACATGCCTAATATGGTAATTCATCTTCTCAAGAATATCTAAAATTTGCTCCATATAAATAGATAAACGCCATGGAACCTCAACCACCCCCAGCGCCACGTTAACCAATACTTGAGAGTCAGATTCCAAAACAAGCTGAGAAGTACCCAAACCATGATGCATAATCATTTTTAGAGCATCCAATAAGGCCAGACATTCTGCTTTCATATTAGAGCCAATCCCATAAGCTGCAGCAGCGGCTAACAAAACATGCCCCTTAGAATCCCTTAAAATCATCCCACCACTAGAAAGGCCATTTTGCTTGGAAGTCCCATCAAAGTTTAATTTTACCTTGTTAATTGCAGGAGGTTCCCAATTCATACATTTCACTTTAGTGGTGACCGAAAAAGGGGGATAAATCCTAAGGTCTTGCAACATATCTGTACCAGCTCTACCTTCCTCTTTCTTTGGTTTGATCATATAAGATTGCCATTTCAAAGCATTTAATCTCAATCCCTCAAACCTCCTCCTACACCTTCCTTTCCATAATGCCCAAAAAATGAGCATAGGGACACCTCTGATAAGTGCATGGATAAGAGAAAGGCCATTGAAGCATCCACACAGTCTCAAGATTAGTTAAGCACATAAAAATGAAAATCCAAAACATAACAAAAACACTAAAACAAAAAAGAGGATAAGAATGATGGGGAGGTGGGGCAAAAGAAACAAAAGAACAATAAACCCAAATTCCTAACCCCTAATCCCTAAGCCCTAATCCCCAACCCGAACAATAAACCGACAATCCAAAAAAGGAAATAAAACATAATTAATCTAATAGATAAGCAACCAAAGCACATACAATCAAACAAATGCTATGCAATTATAGGTTGTGTAAACATTAAAACAATAACGAAGAATGAAAAACAAACAGAGGGATAATGAGAGTGTTGGGAATTGAAAATAGTAGAAACAATGATCATAACAACTAAGAAACACAAGAAGATGTACAAATAGTCATGTGTAAAACACATTTCATATGTAAAAGAAAGCCAATCAAATTTGTACAAATAGTTATACTTATCTTTTCGCTCCTAAACTCCGCTTTCAACCTTATCTCGTCCATTCCATTAACAACTGTAATCAAAGTACACATTAGATTAGTTACGCACATAAAAATGAAAATTCAAAACATAACAAAAACGATAAAATTAAAAAATAGGAGAAAAATGATAAGGAGGTGGAGCAAAAGAAGCAACAGAACAATAAACCCAATTTCCTAACCCCTAATCCGTAATTCCTAATCCCTAATCGCTAATCCCTAATCTCAAACCCCTACTCCCTAAGCCCTAATTCTCAACCTCTAACTATAAACCGACATGCTAAAAAAAGGAAACAAAACATAATTAATCTAATAAAAAAACAAACAAACCACATATAATCAAAGAAATCCTTTGCAATTATAGGTTGTGTAAAACATGAAAACAATAACGAACAATGAAATGCAAATAGTGAGATAATGAGAGTGTTGGGAATTGAAAATAATAGAAACAATGATCATAACAACTAAGAAACACAAGAAGATGTAGAAATAGTCATGTGTAAAACACATTTCATATGTAAAAGAAAGCCAATTAAATTTGCACAAATAGATATACTTATCTTTTCGCCCCTAAATTCCGCTTTCAAGTTTATCTCGTCCATTCCACTTACAACTGAAATCAAAATACACATTAGATTAGTTATGCACATAAAAATGAAAATTCAAAACATAACAAAAGCAATAAAAGAAAAAAATAGGAAAAGAATGATGAGGAGGTGGAGCAAAAGAAGCAAACCAACAATAAACCCAAATCCCTAGCACCTAACACCTAATCCGTAATTCATAATCCCTAATTTCTAATCCCTAATACACAATCTGTAATCCCTAATCCCAAATTCTACTCACTATAAGCTCTAATCCCTAACCCCTAACTATAAATCAAAAATTCAAAAAAACGAAATAAAACATAATTAATCTAATAGAAAAACAAACAAACCACAGATAATCAAAGAAATGATATGCAATTATAGGTACTGCAAAACATGAAAACAATAATGAAAAATAAAAAGTAAAGAGTGGGTTAGTGAAAGTGACCGGAATTGAAAATAATAGAAACAATGAACATAACAAGTAAGAAACACAAGAAAATACAAAAATAGTCATGTGTAAAACAAATTCCACATGTAAAAGATAGCCAATCAAATTTGCACAAATAGATATACTTATCTTTTCGCACCATAACTCCGCTTTCAACCTTATCTCGTCCATGCCACTAACAACTGAAATCAAAGTACACATTAGATTAGTTACGCATATAAAAATGAAAATCCAAAACATAAGAAAAAGAAAAAAATAGGATAAGAATGATGAGGAGGTGGAGCAAAAGAACAATCAACCCAAATCCCTAACCTTTAACCCTTAATCCCTAATCCCTAATCCCTAATCTCTAATCTCTAATCCCTAATTTCAAATCCTTATTCCAGAAGCCCTAATTTCCAACCCCTAACTATAAATCGACAAGCCAAACAAATGAAATAAAACATAATTTATCTAATAGAAAAGTAAATAAAGCACATATAATCAAAGCAATGCTATGCAATTATAGGTGGTGCAAAACATGAAAACAATAATGAAAAATGAAAAACAAACAGTGGGTTAATAAACACAGGAAGATGTACAAATAGTCATGTGCAAAACAAATTTCACATGTAAACGAAAAGACAATCAAATTTGCACAAAATGATATACTTATCTTTTCGCTCCTAAACTCCGTTTGCAAGCTTATCTCGTCCATTCCACTAACAACTAAAATCACAATACACATTACATTAATTACGCATATAAAAATAAAAATTCAAAACATATCAAAAATAATAAAAAAAAGGATAAGAATGATGAGGAGGAGGAGCAAAACAAGCAAAACAACAATAAACCCAAATCCCGAACCCCTAATCCCTAATCCCTAATCTCTAAAGTCGTAACTCCTAATCCCTAATCCCAAATCCCACTCACTAAGCCCTAATCCCCCACCCCTAACTATAAACAAACAACCCAAAAAAAGAAAACAACATAATTAAAGTAATAGAAAAACAAACAAAGCACATATAATGAAAAAATGCTATGCAATTATAGGTGGTGCAAAACATGAAATCAATAACGAAAAATGAAAAACAAACAGTGGGTTAATGAGAGTGTCCGGAAATGAAAATAACAGAAACAATGATCATAACAAGTAAGAAACACAAGAAGATGTACAAATTGTCATGTTTAAAACACATTTCACATGTAAAAGAAAGCCTATCAAATTTGCACAAATGGATATACTTATCTTTTCGCTCCTAAACTCCGTTTGAAAGCTTATCTCGTCCATTCCACTAACAACTGAAATCACAATACACATTAGATTAGTTACGCACATAAAAATAAAAATTCAAAACATAACAAAAGCAATAAAAGAGAAAAAATAGGAAAAGAATGATGAGGAGGTGGAGCAAAAGAAGCAAAACAATAATAAACCCAAATCCCTAACCCCTAACACCTAATCCGTAATTCCTAATACCTAATCTGTAATCCCTAATTCCAAATTCTACTCACTATAAGCCCTAATCCCTAACCCCTAATTATAAACCAAAAACCCAAAAAAATAAAATAGCACATAATTTATCTAATAGAAAAACAAACAAACCACAGATAATCAAAGAAATGATACGCAATTATAGGTTCTGCAAAACATGAAAACAATAACGAAAAATAAAAAGTAAAGAGTGGGTTAATGAGAGTGACCGGAATTGAAAATACAAGAAACAGTGAACATAACAAGTAAGAAACACAAAGAAGATACAGAAATAGTCATGTGTAAAACAAATTCCACATGTACAAGAGAGCCAATCAAATTTGCACAAATAGATATACTTATCTTTTCGCACCACAACTCCGCTTTCAACCTTATCTCGTCCATTCCACTAACAACTGAAATCAAAGTACACATTAGATTAGTTACGCATATAACAATAAAAATTCAAAACATAAGAAAAAGAAAAAAAAAATAGGATAAGAATGATGAGGAGGTGGAGCAAAAGAACAATCAACCAAAATCCCTAACCGTTAACCCCTAATCCCTAATCCCTAATCCCTAATCAATAATCCTTAATCCCTAATCTCTAATCCCTAATCCCAAATCCATAATTTCAAATCCTTACTCCAGAAGCCCAAATTTTCAACCCCTAACTATAAACCGACAAGTCAAACAAAGGAAATAAAACATAATTTATCTAATAGAAAAGTAAATAAAGCACATATAATCAAAGAAATGCTATGCAATTATAGGTGGTGCAAAACATGAAAACAATAACGAAAAATGAAAAACAAACAGTGGGTTAATAAACACAAGAAGATGTACAAATAGTCATGTGTAAAACAAATTTCACATAAAAAAGAAAAGGCAATCAAATTTGCACAAATGGATATACTTATCTTTTCGCTCCTAAACTCCGCTTCCAAGCTTATCTCGTCCATTCCACTAACAACTGAAATCACAATACACATTACATTAATTATGCATATAAAAATAAAAATCCAAAACATATCAAAAATAATAAAAAAAAAAGGATAAGAATGATGAGGAGGAGGAGCAAAACAAGCAAAATAACAATAAACCCAAATCCCGAACCCCTAATCCCTAATCCCTAATCTCTAAAGTCGTAACTCCTAATCCCTAATCCCCCACCCCTAACTATAAACAAACAACCCAAAAAAAGAAAAACAACATAATTAAAGTAATAGAAAAACAAACAAAGCACATATAATAAAA